TAGATTAAGGGGCATGCCAGCAGTCAGAATTAGTAACGAAAAGGCCAGGATTTAAAACCAGGCCCATGGACTCCAGTGTCACTCTTGCTCTTCAGCAGCACCAGGCAGAGGGACCATTCTGTATCTTGAACTTGACAACATAAGCATGATGGTTAAACTCTCCTGATGTCTTTGAAAGGCTCATAGTGCTTCAAGGAAATGAATATTAGGGGAGATACCCCTTCTAAAAGAAATGGACCAGCACTTGGGAGGCAGAGGCAGGTGGATCTCTGTGAGTTCAAGGCCAGGAATCTCTGTGAGTCAAGACTAGCCTGGTCTACATAGTGAGTTCCAGGACAGCTGGGGCTACAGGGAGACCCTGTCTCAAAAAAACCGAAAAAAAAAAAAATAAAGAAAGAAAGAAAGAAAGAAAGAAAGAAATGGAAAGCAAAGAAAAGTTTCTACTTTTCATATCTGAATGGGGGCTTTTGAGAAACAAGAAAGAAGTTATATAGATCACCTGCCTTGTGCAGTATTGGGTGAGGATCCTGGTATAAATTTATACTCAGGGCTGGAGAAATGGCTCAGTGATTAATAGCACTGGCTACTTTTGCAGAGGACTTGGTTTTGGTTCCTAACACCCACGTGGAGATTCACAACCATCTAGTTCTAGGGGATCCAGCACCCTTTTCTGGCCTCCATGGGTACTAGGCATGCACATACTGCATTTACAGACATGCAAGCAAAATACTCTTATACATAAAATCTTTTTTTAAAAAAGCTTATCTTTGGGGGAGCTCTAGAACATTGGATAAGAATATTTCTATTTTAGGGTCTGGAGAGATCGCTTAGTGGTTAAGAGTACTAACTGCTCTTGCAGAGGACCCGGGTTTAATTCCCAGCACTCACATGGGGCTACGAACCATCCTTAACTCCAGTTCTGGGGGAATCCGAAACCCTCTTCTGACCTCCGTGGCAATGCACGACATGGGTGCACTCACATACATGCAGGCAATACACTCATACACATAAAATAAAAATAAAATTTTTTAAAAAGAATATTTCTATTTTAAGAAGTATTTAAAAAATGGAATTAGCTGATAGTAATTACCTGGATGATTAGATCTGATTCTTCTTTAACCAATAGTTTTTTCCTCTCTGGGGTCTTTATATAACCCTGGGCAGTATTCTCAGTTACCCACCTCTTTCTTCTTTGGAAATTTTAGTCTTCTAATCTGATAAAAGGACACAAAATGTGATTCACAATCCCTATGATGATTAATGATTGATGCTTAAAATGGCCCACTGGTCATTGGCATGTCAGTAACATGTAATGGCTCATGAATTCTTCAAGAACCAAATTCCATTATAATGAAGTCAATGGTGTTTAAAACAACTCTTGACACATGGAATTCATAAGTAATGAGAAATAAGACCTCAAAGCTTAGTTATCACTATGACAAAAACATAGCTCTGCAAAGATTTGATTTGCCCTTGTCCTGTGCTCTTCTTTGTGTCTTAATTAGAACTTACCTTTGGACCTACACTGCCCTCTGATGTACTGGATCTCTCTTTGCTGCTTGTTGGTCTTGGAAAAAACCTTCTATTTTCACCTCATTCACTTTCCAGGCTCTTACTCTTCAGCCTACTAAAATAGAAATTCTGCCCCACCTGCCAACCAAGTGACATTGCTCTGGCAAAAGACCTCATGTAGTTTCTAATTATCAGATTCCATGGTCACTTCATCTTTTACCTTGAACTCTCAGCAGCACTTTATAAAGTTCACTGCTGTTTTAAAAAGTTATCCTGTAATGACCTCTCAGACACTGATCTTTCCTTGCTTATTCGTTTTCTAAAGTGCCTTCTTTGTGCCTTTTCAGTCCCTTTTCCTCTCTAACACCATAAGGACTGTTCTGTAAACATCCTTCATTTTTCTCCCCAGGATTTTCCCACCTTAACTGTGTCAGTCCTGTTGTTTCAGCTGTCACTGAGAACTTTGTCCCAGATTTCCTGCTGCTCCTCATAATATATGTAAAGGGCTTAGGACAGTGCCTGACTTGTTCTCTAGGCATTCTCCAATACAATCATTTATAGCCATTTTCCTTCTTCCAAGCTACCCCCCCCTTCTGTGTCTTGAGTACTGTTAGAGGTATTTATTTCAGGGTTCTCATCCTCTTAAGAAAAAGGGTAGAAGCCAGGTGTTTAATCCCAGCACTTGGGAGGCAGAGGCAGGCGGATCTCTGTGAGTTCAAGGCCAGCCTGGTCTACATAGCGAGTTCCAGGCCAGCTGGAGCTACAGGGAGACACTGTCTCAAAAAGACCATGTGTCTCTGCCTCCTAAGTGCTAGGATTAAAGATGTGCACCACCATACTCAGTTGTAGAATCTCTTTTTTTCAACAAATCTAAAATCTTATAAAAACTTCCACATTGACTATATTTTCATAAACTGATCCAACAAGATTATTACCAACATCCATATCCATTCTGTATATGTTGAGGTCATGGTCCATATGGTTTTTCCCTTTTAAAAATTATTGAATATTGTAAACATGCAACCTTTCCATCCTCTGACATGATTATATCCCAACATCCCACTAGATTTGCCCCAGTTCCTTTTGAATAAAATTCTTAAGAATGGGGGCTGGAGAGATGGCTCAGCAGTTAAGAGCATTGACTGCTCTTGCAAAGGACACGGGTTCGATTCCTAGCATCCACATGGTGGCTACGAACTGTCCTTAACTCCAGTTCCAGGGGAATCTGAAGCCCTCTTCTGACCTCCATGGCATTGCACGACATGGGTGCACTCACATACATGCAAGCAATACATTCGTACACATTTTTAAAAAAATCTTAAGAATATAGTTTACACACTTGCAAATCTCTCCTCTGTGGCATCCCTTGTCTCCTTCCCTAGAAGTAGGTCTAGTCTTGAATTTGGTATTTGTCATTCTCAAAGTTCTATTACTTTATCTGTGTATACACATACACAATGCTTATGTCTATTGAATCATTCCTGACACATTATTCTGAAATTCTATTTCCCCTCAGCATTGTCTTCTCATTTTCAATGCTTATTTTAAGTTCATTGTGTGATTATACCACAATTCTTTTTTTCCTGTGCTATTGGATGTTGAAGCTCTCTACCTCTCTCTCTCTCTCTCTCTCTCTCTCTCTCTCTCTCTCTCTCTCTTCTCCATCATGGGTCAATAACACTAATGATACTACCTCTGCTATGTGTCCTTGTGTTCATATTTCTTTGTATAAATATACAAGTGTTTCTCATGAGTATTGCTTTCCAATGGAAATTCTAAGTCTAAAGGATAAATGCATTATTTCTTTCTTCTTTACAACTAGGTTATATTTAAAACATTTAAAAAGTTTGCCAATCTAAGGAAGATGTAGCTTTTCCTTGTTTTAAACTTGCGTTTTCTTGGTACTAGTGAAACGTTTTCTGTTGTTCATAGGTTTTTCTGGCCCCCTGTTTAAAGGATTTCCTGATTTGGGGTTGTTTGTATATTTTCTTTAGCTGATTTAAGTTCAGATATTTTCTGAGTTTCATATCTGTAACACATTTTGGTTATCTTTGTGTAATATTTTATCCTATAGGTGTTTCATGTTTATTTTGCCATCCTGCCTCCTGTTTGAGGTTTGCATTATTTACATGTGTGTATTATGTGCTGACTTCCTTGGGGTTTTGTATTTTAATAGAAAAAGAGTGGTGGTGTCCTACTGTACTGTCTTCAGTGATGAATGTTGGAGACAGTTGGTCAGGTCTCAATGGTATAGCTTCTGGGCATGAATTAGAGCAGCTCTCAAAAGCCTTGTTGGGGAATGAATCTGTCATTCTTGGCACCAGCTGCGACCAATGAACTAATTGTAAAGTGACCTACATAAGTAAAACATTGTCATTTGTGAACATGGCATTGGCACTGGATGCTGTCATGCTTTTAATGGAACAAATGCTCAGAAGGAGGAGAGTTCAAGATGATATACTGCTGATCTAAGGTAGGTCACAAATGCAGCAGAAAGAGTTCTCTGAGCCATAGTTTGCTGCTGTGTAACTTGGAGACTAGAGCTAGGTGTTTGAAATTTTTTCTTGTGACAGGCCAGGTACTAAATATTTTTAACTTTCCAGACCGTGTGGTTTCTGTTGTACCTGTTCACTGACTGGGGTGTGGTGTGGCTGCAGTGGGTGCAAAGCCCCACACAGTTGCGTATGTTTACTAAGGACTCCTTTGGCACTATAAGCGTTATATAATTTAAAGATTTATTTTCTGGTCCTTTAAAACTGTGCTGGACTCAAGGCCTGTGGTTTCAGCACTACTGACATTTGGGGCCAGAGAATTCTGCCTTGCCCCAGAAGGGGTATGCCAAATTGTCCCTGATGAGGAGCACCAGTCCAGAGGATTTGAAAGTGCTCTGTTTCTTGCTCTTTTTCTTATATTTGGTTTCTTGGCTTCAACTTCAGCCATGATCTCTGTTGAATGAGAGGCCACGATGGCACATACACCTTTGAGTGTAGTTACCCTAAACTATGAAATCAAATCAGACCTTGGTATATGGCATGCACTAGATTTGGAAATCTTCCTGAACTCCAAGTTGCTTGTCAAATTGAGCAGTTAGTCTTCATCTATCTAGGTTTAACCCATTTACAGCAGGTCTGGAATTGTCCTTTTGTTTCTGTCATGTGTTCTTTTTTTATCTGTCTCTTTTCCTCTCTGAGCACTGCCAGCTGGCTGGGCCCCAGCCTCCAGTGAGGCAGTATTTACAACGCACTTGGATGAAGGCAGTAGCTAGGGTAGCCCAAGGGCAGATGAAGTAGCATCCAGTATCAGAATACTGCATCTCTCACACTCTGTCTTCTTTATAGGAGTAAGAATTCCTCTCCTGCTGCCCTCTACCAAATGAGAAGTGGTATTGATTGGCCTAGTACAGTGTATAAAATATGCATCTAATGGAATGGTATTTTGGGAACTATTAGCAGCACGGGGTTGCTGAGTCCCAAGATCTTACCTTCCTCCTTTCTTCTCCTCCCCTTTTTCTCCTCCTTCCTAGTAGCAGCTTCTTAGCAAATTATATTGGCCTTGGCTTGCTGGATGGCAGTGACAGTGCAAGCTTTCTGTAGTTTCCAAGGGAGACGGGGTGCTGAGGCTGCAGTGTTTCCCAGCAGCCATTTACCTTTCTTGATATTCATCTCCACAAATCTCTTGACCTTCATTCTGCTATGCAGGCCTGCGTAAGGAGGTAACAGTCTGTTTTCTTGGAGTTCTCTGTGTCAGGGGGCAAAATGAAAGCAGGTGGTAAGGGGGAGGTATATGGAGACAGCAGAGTATAAATGCTGGAGTTAGCAAAAAAAAAAAGCTCCGAAGTGTTCTGTCTTTGCGCTTCTTCTCGCTTGCTGTCTCCATAACCCCGAAGGTGGGAACCTCAGCACTATCTCATAAAGCTTAGAAGTATCACATATAAAAGCCTACATTATAGTAATATTGCCTCTGGGAAGCACAGAAAAAAAAAATGAGAGCTTTGAGAAAAAGGGTAATCAATTGCTTTTAAACAAACTGTCTTCACAAATTCTATTAGATTTATGTTGTACAAGTTGGATCTGATTTTCAGTTTAAGGAGAGAGGTGACAAAAATGTCTCTTAATTGTAGTCTCAACACTTCTAGAGTTGTGTTTTCTGGTGTAGTAGTCAGCATTCCTGCATGGTTATTTAAATTTAATGACATGAAATTAAGATAATTTCTTCTGTTGTACTAGCCACACTTTAAGTGTTCAGTAACCACACGCTGCTAGTGGCCACTACATTCGACTGCATTGGACATTCCAATATAGGAAATTTGGTGAAATCAGCCCTCTATATCGTGGGTTCTGAATCTTTTGATTCAACCAACTATAGATTTAAAATATATCTCTGCTTTACCTGTACAGTCTATTTTTATCATTCCTTAAATAATATGGTATAACTACTATTTTTCACAGCATTTACATTGTATTTGGCATTGAAATAACTTAGAGATGAGTTAAAATTCACTGAGATTGTGTAGGCTATCTGTAAATACTATGAGATTTTATATAAGGGACTTGAGCATTCATGGATTTTGGTATGGGTGGGGAGATAATGTCCTGGAACCAATTCTCCCCAGCCCACTGCCCCCAGAATACTTAGAAATGACTGTATTTATTTTGTAATTGAAGAAACTAAGGTCCTAAGAGATTGATTCTCTTCAGGCCCAACAAATAATTGAAGAACCCAGATAGCTTTTCTCCACTGTTCCTCAGTGTTAGCTTCCCATTCTCAACGACAAACAGCAGGTAAAACTTAACTAACCCTGGCTTGACTATAGAGTCAGCAGCATCCTCCAAAGGAGAATTTAGTGTCTCATATTTTTTGATATTTATGGTTTTTGTAAGAGCAGCCTTATACCATGTTGACAGCAACTCTGGATATAAAAAAAAATCTTCTCTGTCATTAGAATGCTTAGCATGACAAACTTTTGGAGATGTGGGGATGCTGGTAGAAGGCCAGTGCAAGACATGTTTATCCACTCATTCCTGTTGCTGATGGACTTGGAGGAAGAAATGTCTTGCTTCAAAGTTCAAATGGCTGGAATATCATCTTGCTTGATGCAAGAAACACATTTTTCATCATAGTATTATATAAGGAAAATTACACCTGAAGTAGGAGAATATAGTAATATTTGTCTTTAGGTATATGACATTGTGACCTTGGCTATTTTAATGAACTCATCTGTAAAATAGGCATGGTTTTATCATTTCTATCTTATACATCTTGCCAGGAATGGTGGTGCTCACCCTTAATCCCAGCACTCAGGAGGCAGAGGTGGGAAGATCTCTTTGAGTCTACAGCCAGCCTGTATAAAACAGTAACAACAAAAAATTGTACATCTTGGGGCTGGGAAGTTGGTTCAGTAGGTAAAGTGCTTGCTGTATGAGCATAAGGACTTGAGTTTGGATCCCCAGGACCCATGTAAAAAAACTGAGTATAGCCACTGAAGAAGACACCCAACATGGACTTCTGGCTTCCACATGCATGCACACACCTACACACATGCACCCCTCCCACGTGCGTACACACATATACAAAAAATGATATGCCTTAAGCTGGATGTGTGGCTCAGACTCACATATGTGAAGTCCTGAGTACAACTGCCAGTACCACAGGGAGGGAGCTAGGGAGGGAGGGAAGCAAAAACAAAACACAGAACCTGGGGCTTTTATTTACATTTTTCCTCCACGTTTTAAATAAAAGTTTATAAAGTTCTTGCCATGCATGCATGAGGACCTGATTTCAGATCTCCAGGACATTAAAAGCTGAGCTGGCTCTTGACTGTAATCACAACACTGGGGAGGCAGAGACAGGAGGTTTACCAACGCTCACCGGCCAGTCAGTCTAGCCAAATCAGTGAGCTCCAGTTTCAGTGAGAGGCTCTATTCCCCAAACTAACATGGACTGGCAAGGGAGATGGTTCAGTGGGTAAAAGTGCCTGCTATACAAGTGAAGACCTGAGCTCAAATCCTCAGAACCTACAAAAAACCTGAATGTGTAGCACGAGCATCTGCAATCCCTGTGCTACAAGGATATAGGAGAGAGACCGGAAAGGTCCTGGAAGCTTGTGGACTGGACTAGCTAGCCTGTCCTAAGCAGTGGAAAACAAGGAGACGCTGTCTCAAATAAGTAGAAGGTGAGGACTGACAATCAAGGTTGTGGTTGTCTTCTAACCTCCACATATGTGCTGTTGCATTGGGCACTGTTATACATGCACTCCTACATTTACACACCTAGGTGCATGCATACACACACACACGCACACACACACACACATTATTCAATGGTACTTAACATCAGCCTCTGGTCTTCACATGCACACTCACATTCATCAGCACAAACATACACACAAACACACATATATACAAACCCCCACAAAACCTTAGCCTGATTCCTATAGGAATGGGAAGTAATTAGTTTAATTTGATGAGTAGTCTCTAAAGAAATTTTATAGGTGCTGGGGAGATGATTCATCAGTTAAGAGCACTGATTGGTCTTAAAGTCACTTTTTTTTTTTTTTTTTTTTTTTTGTTTTGCAGCCCCAGCTGTCCTGGAACTCACTATGTAGATCAGGCTGGCCTTGAACTCACAGAG